CCCGGCCGGGATGGAGGCAGGGTGGCGGGTCCCCGGCCGGGATGGAGGCAGGGTGGAGGGTCCCGGCCGGGATGGAGGCAGGGTGGCGGGTCCCGCCCAGCGCTCCCGGTGCCGCTGCGGGCGGAGCGGGGCCGGGGCAGTGCCAGGGGGCGCCGCCAGGGGGCGCGGCCGAGCGCCGTGAGGGCCCGGCTCTATGGTGCCGCCGCCATGGGCGCCGAGCGGGAGGCGCGGGCCTGCGCCGCCTTCTACGGCACTCGGGGCCTCGCCCCCACAGTGCTCTCCTGCCTGCGCTGCCTGCGGCACTTCGCGGGGTAAGAGGGCGGCCCCAGGGAGGGAGCTCCCGGTATCCCCCCGGTGGCGGGTGCATCGGGAAACCCCCGGTGTGGAGTGCCCGTGCCTCTCCTGGGCGCGGGTCGGGAGTGTGAGATCGGTACCCAGGGAGGGCTTCGAGCCGCGCTCACCTGCCCCCTGTTCCCTTCCAGCCTGCTCAGCAGCAGCAGTAGGGCTGCAGTTCTTAGGATTTTCGAGCCCTTCTGCCCCACCGAGGGCTTGCACACGCTGAGCTTTGAGGGTTTTGTGTAGCTCCCCCCCGCCGCCGTCCCTCCGTCCTCGCTCCAGTGCAGTGCTGAGTGCAGCTGGGAGAGAGGAGCATCGCAGGCTAGGGCACTCCAATCGCAGGTCCCACTGAATCGGGGTATTCCCCCACTACAAACTTCACCGAGCCAGCGTATCCTCACCCCTATCCTTGTCTGTTCCAGGAGTACTGCCAAGAGATGCAAAGAGAAGCACCTGGAGGAGGCTCTCCAGCTGACACGGGTGCTGAGTGAGGGTCTGCAGGCGCTGGGTGAGGCAGAGGCACGACCCCTGCTCCGCTGTGTCCTGGCTTTCCAGATGGAGGCAACCAGCAGCTCCAGCTCCTTCCAGAAACTGGAACAGGTCTGTAAGGCAATCGGCTGGGCTGGCTTAACTCACTCCCGGCACAGCTCTGGAGCTTTCTGGCATCCTTACCAGCAAAGGGGCTCGGA